GTCCGCAGTGTTTATTGGGCTGGGCAAATCTAACTCTGGATGTTCCTTTCACCTAGGGAAATGCCCAGTCCCGCTTTGAATCTTCCTAAGTGTGAGCCTAGATGCCATCCTGCAGCAATGAGTTCCACAGTGCCTGAGTGCGTGAGTCTGGATTTCAATGTCCCACTGTCACTCCATGGGCTGCCCCCTCGTTGCTGCACCAGGCAACAGGGAGGACAGAATCCCCCGAAGTATTTTCTCTGTCTCATTGTCATGGGGCCATGCTCCATCGTAGGCTTTAAACAACCCTAATCCCCCTTCTCTCTTCACAGGAGAGTTTTCCCCGGGCCGGGCTTGGCCCCGATCCCGTGCGTTTTCCATGTGGCGCTGAGAAGGGGTCGCCCAGGGCTGCAGGAGGGATTCTCTTCCCCGTCTCTACAATGAATTGAGCACAGGGGGCCCCTCTCAGGCAGGGTCCCCGACCCGCTGAGAACTTCCAGGGCCACCAGAGAAAATGTGCTTCTAACGGAAAGTCGCAATTCTGTGTCATTGTGGAGTGTGGGTTGGGTGTGCTCAGGTCTTGAGTTTAACCCATAGACAAGTCCCGTAGCCACCCTGGAATAAAGGGAAAAGCAAGAGGAGCGTTGTTCACAGGGTAACGTGAGCAAATACACACGCACCAATGGGCTCTAGGAAATAGCATTTTCTACGTTAAAGCATTCCACAGAGTCGAAACTCCACCTACGTTTTACGTGACTTGTCTCTGCTCTGAACAAAACTGCCCCGCAGGTGACCTGCTGTGGCCTCCAGCCATGAGTTTGTTTATCCTTAGCAGTTGCCTGTCGTCTTGGCAAGAGCGGGTGCTGGGTTTGGCAGTGTCACAAATCGACAACACGGCCGACTAACAAACACCATGGGCCAGCGTCCGGAAGTAGGAGCTGGACAAAGTCAGATGAGGCATCAGGTGTCAATGTCTGCAGAGAGGGTGAGCAACGATTCGTAGAACTTAGTGAGGGTTGGGTGGAATCACAAACACAGGACTTTTTACACAGGGTGGTGCTGTTAATCCGTTCTCCAGAGCGGGCTGGCGTCATTCATCAGCGTGTTACGTCACGGCCGACATCCTTCTATCCCCCGCTCAGGTGCTGCCGCGGCCCCTCCCCATGGCCGAGGCCAACTGGACGTACATCTCTGAGTTCGTGCTCCTGGGTCTGTCCGAGCGCCAGGACCTGCAGCCGCTGATCTTCGCGGGGTTGCTGGCCACCTATGTGCTGAACCTAGTCGGCAACTCCGTGCTGCTGCTGGCGGTATGGGCTGACCCCCAGCTCCACAGCCCCATGTATTTCCTCCTCAGCCAGCTGGCCGTGGTGGACGTGAGCTTCGCCTCCATCACCCTGCCCCAGGCCCTGGTTCACATTTTGACCCAGCACCGGGCCATCTCCTTCGCCAGCTGCATGGGCCAAGTCTTTGTTTTCCTGGCCGTGGGCAACATGGAGGGCTACCTGCTGGCTGCCATGGCCTACGACCGCTACGTGGCCGTCTGCGACCCGCTGCGCTACGCCGCCGTGGTGACGCGGTCCCTGTGCCTCAAGATGGCAGCTGCTTCATTGGCCGTGGTGATCCCGCATTCTCTGCTGCACACCGTCATGGCCGCCCAGCTGCGTTACTGCGGCAACTGTGTGCAGCATTTCTTCTGTGACCTGCCACCCCTGCTGCACCTCTCCTGCACCCGGCCCTTCGCCAACGAGCTGGTTCTCTTCACTGAAGGCGTCCTGGTGGTGCTGGCCCCTTTCGCCTTCATCCTGGCCTCCTACGCCCGCATCGGGGTGGCCGTGGCCCATCTACGCTCTGCCCAAGCCCTGCGCAAGGCCCTCTCCACCTGCGGCTCCCACCTGACCGTGGTGACGCTCACATACGGCAGTGTGGTCTGGCAGGGTAAAGAGGAAGGTCCTGGCTCGGGACACATGAGACTAGCCTGGGGCTCCATCGCTGCACTGGGCGTGGACTTTCCACCCAAGAGGTGTCTGGGGACCTTCCCTCTTAGCTCCCCCGGGACACCTGGGCTCCTTTTCCCTCAGACACGTGGCTGGTGGAACTAACACATATGTAGGGTCACACCCATCTCTACACACAAGCACACACAGCCCATAGTTCTCAAGTCATGTTCTGACCAACAAAGACCAGGGACACCATTCCTGCCTATCCTGGCTAATAGCCATTGATGGACGTGTTCTCTGTCTAACTCATTTCTTAACCCTGTTACAATCGCCTTCGCAACATCTTCCGGCGAGGAGTTCCACAGGTTGACTGTGCACTGTTGGAAAAATACTTCTTTTTAAACATGTTGCCTATTCATTTCCTTTGGTGACCCCTAGGTCTTGCATAATGAGAAGGAAATAAACCTTCCTTATTCGCTTCCTCCACACTAATTATGTTTTGATAAAGCTCTTTCACACCCCTATTAGTTGTCTCTTTTCTAAGGTGAAAAGTTCCAGTCTTCTTAATCCCTTTCCTGAGGACCCTGCCTGCTAACGACGCCCAGAGTGGCAGAGAACCGTTCCTGGTAATTAATACGCTGGAGATGCATCAAAGAGGGGAGCAGGGGGATATCCCAGAGAAGGTCCATCCTGCCATACGGTCTCAGTCTGCTCACATGACACCCATTCCTGGTGCATTAACCTCCCCCTGCTCTCTGGGCTAACACTCCTTGGCCAATAGACCACATTTGGAAGAACCAACGAGAGTCCCAATACTGACAAACTCACAACACCAAAATCTGGCAGGATGTTTAGCCACCGAGGCAGAGGCGAGAGGGTGGGGGGCATGGGATAATATGACAAAACAGGAATTTTCCAAGTGGGTTTTGTGTGGCACCCTTTCCTGCCTCAGTTTCCCCCTTTTGAGCTTTGCTACCCAATGTGCATGTGTCTGGGGAGAGACAGGATTGAATTTGCTCTCAGGACAGGCAACGAGCCAGCGGAGTGTATTCGAGCTCCCAGGCTGGGGCGGGCGGTGGTAGGAAACGAACTGAGTCGTGGCAGGGTC